TGTGGTGATCCAGATTTTCTCTCTAATGGGTCCTGACAAAATGTCAAGTGTTAAATGAAAAATATGAAATGTGCTTGAAAGAATAATGTGTTCTGTAAAGTGAACAAAGACATTGACTTGTTTCCACTGAGAAAAGCTGGAATCCCTCAAGGGTGCTGGATATCCAGTCATTGAGAATTGTTGTGATATAACAACACAAATTCTATTCCTGACAAGCACAGGAGGAAAAGTCCTGAGGAAATTCTCTCCCTCCTCTGTGTCTGGAGCAAGGAGACCAATCAAGGTCCATCTGAAGTATAGGAGCACTCGGACAATTGCTGAATACTGAAACCCTTCTTTGAGGAGCATCCGGTGGAAAAAAGGGAATTTACTTTTATCGCTCAGAGTCTCTGACACAACTCTATGACTGATCTGGAAAAGCAATGAAGAAGGCTGTGTTATATTTTGGGTCAGGTCAAGTCCAAAATATGAGTTTTTAATAAATCCAACTTTGTTTTGATAAATATCTTGGAACAGTTTGTTGATTAGCCATTGTTTAAAAAATTAAACAGAATATTAAGAATACTTAATTTCAGGATTCCAAGTAACACACCCTTGGCAATCAAAACTTCGAGACAGGTAGATTCATCAAAAAATAGATTTATTGGATATGTCATATTGGCATGGGCTGGTGAAAAATGTTTTCACCTACTTATTTTTTTTCACTTTCTCCAAATAACCAGTAAAATAAGATGCAGTCCAGTTACTAGATGACTCCAGTCCCCTCCTTCTGGCCACCTGGTGGGAATGTCCTTCTTTCCCAAGGGACAGTGTTTTATTTTGGCTACAACACACCACCTATCACTACTCTCCCCTCCCTTTCCCACAGCACCTGTTATTGTAGAACTGAAGCCCCAAAATGCCACAGTCAAGTTCAGGGCTGAGATGATCTTTCCTAGTTTAGGTAATGAAATGTCTGCAATAAAATAACCAGACTCAGAAAGCAACAAGAAACCCTCATTTCAACACTGAGCTACAAATATTATCCTTTTATTGATTTCACCCCTCTACTGATATAGCCTAGGTCTGCATTGGCTTTTTTGGCAGCTGCAACATACTGGTGTCTCATATTTAAGTCATGATCCAATAGGACACTTAGATTTCTCTCACAGTTGCTAATCTGCAGCCAGGTATGAACAATTCTATAACTGCATTTAATATTTCTTGTCTAGGAATAGGACTTAATTTTTTTCACCACTGAGAATTGCATTTCATTGGACAGGGCTTGGTGTCAAGATCCTTCTGAACCTTGAATCCATCTTTCAAAGAGTTAGCAATTTCTCCCTGAAAGCAATAGAGATGCTATCATAAGAGAATAGGACTGTTTTGATACATGCCTAATGTGTATCCCAGTTCCCATCCATGACACCTACAATAGAGATAATGAAAAGCAGCTTTTGAATTGCAGAGAGAAGTTAGGCACCAAAGAATTGAGGCCTTTGAACTTATGGTGCTGGAGAAGACTCCAGCAAGGTGGTCAAACCGGTCAGTCCTGGAGGAGATCAGCCCTGACTGCTCTTTAGAAGGCCAGATCCTGAAGATGAAACTCAGGTACTTTGGCCACATAATAAGAAGGAAGGACTCACTGGAGAAGAGCCTAATACTGAGACAGATTGAGGGCAATTGAAAAAGGGGATGACAGAGAATGAGGTGGCTGGATGGAATTACTGAAGTGGTGGGTGTGAGCTTGGATGAACTCCAGAAGATGATAGAGGACAGGATGGTCTGGAGGAACATTGTCCATGGGGTCATGATTGGTTGGACATGACTTTGCAACTAAAAAAAGAGAAGATATGTGTCAGAGATGGGGGGGAAAGTAGGATCAAGGGTGACAGTGAATTATGTATCTCAGAGTTGGTTGTCTGTCAGGATTCCAGAAGTTACTCCAATGAAATCATAAGCCTTGAGCCACACTCCCAAAATTAAAGAGGACTTATTTGAAGATAATATTCTACATCCGGCATTAATCTGGGCGCAGCCAACTTTGAGATACATAATTCACTGTCACCCTTGATCCTACTTTTCCCCCCACCCCTCTGGGTGTATCAACCATACACGCAACCTTCTACAATCCTGTTACAAATCTGGGACTGGAACAGCTAGTAACCAACAACACTAGACTAAACAACTGCCTCGATCTCATCTTCTGCAATAGTATGAATTTAATTTACGGAATACAAACTAAAGAACCCTTTTCCAGCAGTGACCACAATATGATTGACTTTTGTCTCAACATATGCCCACACAAAAACCACCACAATGACGTAATCTCCAATTATAACTTCAAAAAAGGCAACTATGATCTTATAGACAACGATCTCTCATCCCTTGATTGGCAATCTCTATTCACTGGATGCAATACTGTTGAAGACCATTACAACATATTTTTACTTGAAGTCAAAAGAGTCATCAAACTATATGTACCAACAACAACTCCCAAAACAAAACAAAAAACAGATTGCCCATAACAATAAGGAAACTTCAAAATCCTATGGTATCTCTGGACAACTGAATAACTGGATAGAAGCATTCCTGTCAAACAGACAACAAATGGTCAAAATTGGGAGTGTCCTATCAAATTCTGTACCTGTCAATAGTGGTGTCCCCCAAGGCAGTGTTCTAGGACCAACTCTCTTCACACTCTACATAAATGACCTCTGTGATCATATTAAGAGCAACTGCCTTCTTTTTGCTGATGATGTAAAGCTGTTCAATACCACAGACAACACTGCTACCCTTTAAAAAGACTTGGACTATGTATCAGAATGGTCAAACAAATGGCAACTTCAAATCTCAACAAATAAATGCTCTGTCTTACATATTGGCAAAAAAATATATCAGAAAATAAAATACAAGCTGAATAGTTAAGACCTTGTTGATGATCCAGGCTCTGTAAAGGACCTTGGAATACTCACCTCTAATGATCTAAGTGGTAGAGCCCACCGCAACTACATAGCCAAAAGTCATTAAGAGTTGTTAACCTAATTCTACATGGCTTTTTCTCTGGTAATATCACACTACTAACTAGAGCATACAAAACATTTGCTAGACTAATACTCAAATACAGCTCATCAGTCTGGAACCCACATCACGTATCTGATATTAGCACAATTGAGAAAGTCCAGAAATATTTCACAAGGAGAGTTCTCCACTCCTCTACTCATTGTAGAATACCTTATGCCACCAGACTTGAAATTTTAGAACTAGAAAACCTTGAATTACACCGTCTTCAGTCTGATTTAAGCATGGTATATAAAACCATTCATTGCAATGTCCTACCTCTCAATGAATACTTCAGCTTCAACCATAACAACACAAGAGTACACAATAGATACAAACTCAAGGTTAACCGCACCAAACTTGATTGCAGGAAATACAACTTCAGCAACAGAGTGGTCAATGTCTGGAATACTCTACCCGACTCTGTAGTTTCTTCCCCAAACCCCCAAAACTTTAACTTCAGACTGTCTACTATTGACCTGACCCCTTTCCTAAGAGGTCTCTAGGGGGCGTGCATAAGCGCACCAATGTGCCTACCATCCCTGTCCTATTGTTTCTTTTATTTTTCTTATATGTATCCATTTCATGTATTCATAACTATGTATACACTTATACTGATTATCTTGTAAACAATTGACAAATAAAATAAATAAATAAAATAAATCACCCAACAAAAAACATCCATAGCCAAGAGTCATCAATCATGCTCTCCAATTAGATATTTTCCTGGAAGAAGCTTCAGCCACCTAATCAGTAAGAAAATATGAATGGAATGTACTTTTGATTTAGCCTGTTGCCAGCTCTCTGAAACTCCCCCACTTCTTTCTGCTATCAACTATAAAACATGTATACAAAATGTTTTATGAGTTGACAATATGATTGAATCAATCCTGCACCCACTACCATCCATTCACTTTACTATATGTAGAGAAACACACACACACAAACCTGTGGGACTTTGTAGGGGCCTACTAATGTTGACATCTGGATGGAAATCTCCCTGTCAACAGCATCAAGAAGAGCCAAAATGTGGTCCTTTCTTCCACAACTGTAGTTGGGAACATTGGCTTTTCCAGTAGAAAGCATGTCCAGCAAGACATCCGAAGTGCCAAGAGTTTTCAAATAGTTGTCATGGATATTGTAGCCAAGTGTGAGATTGCATAGGAACTGGATATTCTTGTTGATCAATTGAATGGTGAAAATAAAACGTTCTATTCCTTTGGAAGTATAAGTTATACTAGTATAAAAAATGTTTTGGTTAATACAAGCATCATCAACAGCAGTAATACAATCCTTTTTGGAAAAACCCTCCCTCTTTATCAAAACATGACTATTGATATGAAGCCAATACTGATCAAAAAGCAGAGGCAAATGATAGCCACCCATTAAATTTAATATTTGTAAATGTTGACAAAATGGGAAGCAGATAAAAAGCACAAATAGTCTATTATTTATAGCAGCAGTAATTTTTATCAGCACAGTACCCAGTCTGCAAAATTTCATTTTTTAAAGTTTAACCATCATAAAAGGAAGAGAGTATTTCATAAGTGACCTAGAAAAGCTGTTCTAAAATCATCATCCTCTATTCCTATAACAGATCAGGCATTGAATATTAACAAGCAGTTATAAATATTTGAAAATTTAACTACAATCTATCAGTACTTTAAACAAAAGTCAGCATTTAAGTCATGCATTCTAGATTGGATGTGGAGAGGAAATTAATTTGGACTTCTTTCAGGTATTTTACTCTTTCTGCTTCATCTTTCTAGTTGTAGATACTTCTCCTAAATAAGACAAAAGAGGAAACCCACAAAAATCTGATCAATCAATAAAATTAATCAGTTCCTGAAATATAGGAGTAAGCAGGATAAGGAGAAAAGAATGAGAGTGTTAGAACTGCAGATGGAAGGAATGCAATTTCATCACACTAATCACTTACAAGAAAGACCGAGTATAAGGAAGCACGTCGAAAAACAACATTTCTTGGTTTAGTGTTACTGCACTGGTGACTACACCGATGAGATGGTCTCCTGGCCTGTAATAGCTCCATGGTCTTTCTCTATCCAGGTGCACCATATTCATTGGGCACTTCATTCTAAGCTTCCCAGAGACTGTCTGGGACACCAGTAGCATCAAAAGCAGAAGCAGGAGATCCATAATTCATGAAGCTGAATCAATCACCTGTTTCCAAATAAGAGTTAGATGATTTCAAAGCACCCTCAGAAAATGGAATATCCAGGAGCTTTCCTTTTCCAAACAGAAACAAATTGAGCTTCATCTGGAAAAGAGGAAAAGGTACATTCAGCCTCACAGCTCTTGCCTGTGTCCTCAATCTTGTTCAAACCATTCAGCATGAGTAGAGGCTTATATCTTCTTCTGATGCAAGATCCATTCCATGTTGCTTCAGTCTGGCATTATGTCAACATCAGTCACTGGAAAAGTAACAGTAGACACCTCAAAGTCTGGGATTGTGATAATTATTGTGAGTGATAATTGATACTCAGGACCTCTTCCAGGGCTCCATGTAGAGTGGGGCAGCTGTAGAAAAGGATTTTGTGAAATGTTGCAGATACATCCCTGGAGACACTCTTCTACAATGGTTGTCATCCTTCCTCTCAGGATAAATCTAGAAAATGATGTTGGAGGAAGATGCTTCGATACCCAGGGAATTTACTTCTGCTGTCTGCCATTCTGGCATATGGTCTCCAGAGAATGCTAGAGAAGATCACCCAGAGCTATGCAGTTTGGTGGCACTCTAGGTTCTTGACACTTAACTCTAATGATCTCTGATACCTTCTGCACCCTTGAACCCTGCCTAATGTTAAGAGCGTGTCTTTGTGATTTTCTTTTCTATGACATCTCCAGATATTAATCCTAATTTGGAGCTGATTTTAAAATACCTTGTGTCTGAAGAGATATTTCATTTCCAACTGTTCTAGAAGTATAATTTTTTTGGATGAGAGCTGACTAAGAGGCAGGACAGTGGAAGTCTTTAGACTCTATTCTTTAGTAAATAGGGAGAAATTTTACAGAAGAGATAGAAAATTGTATTTTCCTTGACTCTTTGTTGTCCTTCAATATTTATGGAACATACTGAAATCCTTTGTATTTTGAAGTTTCATAATTAATTGAATAAAGAATGGGGTTGAAGTCTGTAGCTGAGCTGGTTGTGGTGCTCACAGCATGGCATCTGGTTGTCAGCTTTGGAATCATGATTAAAAGCTGTCACAGTGTTGCAGAGAACTGGAGGGGGATGGTGTTATTGGAGTAGCTCTCAGTAGACATAATAAATCTCTTATGCTCCAAGGTCATTATGAATGGTGCAGAGAAAAATGGAGTTGGAAGGAGATTGGTTCACGTGATAGGTGATGGGGAAAAAATTAGGTTAGAAACTTGTGGGAAGCTCAGGAGAATTTCAGTTTCGGAATTTCCTCACTTTGTACCAGTTCCTGTTGTAATAAAAATACTTTGAGATTATGTTTGTCTCAGAGTTACTGGCTGGAATGAATGTCTTCTGGAATCTTGATATTATTCCAAAACTCTTCTAACAAACTTCAGCACTCCCAAAAAGGAGAGAAGAGGGGTTGCTGAACTCCCGGATTTTTTTTCAGCAATGGAAAAATCCAACCAATCAGCCAACATGGAAGGTGAGGCAGAAGGAGATTTTTTGGGGGGCTCTGGAGCTTTAGTTGAATCCCCCACCCACCCCGGAGAAGATGATGAAAGCTTTTAGAGATGCAGAGAAGAGGCAACCAGATGTTCTGATTCATGGGAAAGCTGTCAGACAAGGCTAATTAAAATTCCTGGAGAAAAATCTTTCTCGAGCCCTATACATACAAAAAGGAGGCAGACTGCAGGTTTGAGGTTCAATTTGAATTGGAAACCTCTCAAGATGACAACCCCCAAAGTCATTCTAGGAGCTGATCATTAGCAGAATTACTACAAAAATTCCAGCAGTTAAAGATGGGAAGTTTTGCCTCAAAGCCACAAACTATTCAGCCCATGTGCAGCCTGACACCACCAATATTCTCTTTCCCCAGAGTTACAAGGGAAGAGGAATTTACTCAGATGCCAATTGGAGAGGCCCAGCATGACAGCCCGCATCGACGAGAGAGGCAGACTACAATAGGTATGTTGCAACCTCAAAGTCCCCCTCCTCAGCACACAGAAAGAGATTTACCCTGGGGATTTTATCCAGGCCAGGGGTGGATCCAGTGCCATTGGATGTCAGCGCCGACAACGCCCTGGCCCCAGAGGGAATCAGAAATCCCTTCCACACATAGGGACCTGTGCAAACAGCAGACAGCAGCCACTCCCCCTGCACCCATGCAGAGATTAAGGCAACACTCACCTTCCAACTGGCAGGCACTAAATCAAACCCCACTCGGAGAAACCCTGCAAAGGCCCTTCTCCCAGATAGCCAAAACCTGGCCAGGCCTTGGAAGACCTTTCCAACCCAGATACACACCATCAGGTTCCTTTCATTCCAGCTCAACCTGCAGGTGACAGGCCAATACCACCTCTCCACCCACAAACCAGACCAGACCAGGTGCTGTTCAAGGCCACTTTCGATGGCAAACACGAACATTTTGCTTATTTCCTCACTCGAATCTGGTCTCAAATAGACCAATTTGGAGGCCAATATGCAACAGAGTGCGATCTGGTTACTGCAATAACAGATGGGATGAATGAGGGGGATGCTTCTGACTGGATGGCCAAGCTGCACTAAGAATAAGCCTCAGAGCTACAGGATGTCGATTGATTCATTCAGTTATTGAGATTCAGATTTGAAAATCCAGATGGAGTGGCAGAAAATGAAGACAAAATAATGGAAATGAAACAGGGTTAGTGACCCCTATCAGACTTTATATGGGACTTTAGAAGGGTTGTGAGCCACCTCATGGATTGGCCTGAAAAAGTAATCTTACACTATTTTAAAAATGCCATTAACCCAGAAGTAAAGCTGGCCTGTAACATTAGGGGGATACAGAGATGCTTAATTCGTGGTATACCACTGCCCTCAAATTAGACCACGACATCAACCAATGAAAAAAATTACTACCTGAAGGGCTTCCTAGGAGAACTGCAGCCAGATGACAGCTAACCAGACCTGCTGAAGCTACTGCCACTGACCCAACAGGATGATAAAGTGCTATCATTGTTGCCAGGATTGTGATAGAGCAGCTGACTTCCTGGCTCCCGTACCTGTTCCACAAGCTCCACAACCAAGGTCTAACACAGCCACCAGGGGTTGGAAAAATCAAGGGAAGCCTTCTGACACTAGCTGTTTTGCTAGACACACCCTGCAAGGTCTTCTCCATGCAGAGCGGAGCAGCACAGACCAACACCACCTCCCTGGAGAAGCCACTGACAAAGATGACCCTATGATGAGTGTGCCCATCATACCTTTTATTGTCAAAGTAAAATTAGTGGTACCAAACATGGGGAGGCAAGGGAATTAGAAGTTGTAATACATACTTGATGCTCTAGATCAGGGGTCCCCAACCACCGGGCCGCGGATCGGTACCGATCCGTGGATCATTTGGTACTGGGCTGCAAATAAAATAAAAATAAAATAAAAATGGCGGCTTTCTTCGCCTTTGGTGAATGCTGCTGGGATCAGGGATCAAGGACACAAATGAAAGAAGGGGAGGGAGGAAACAACCAAAGCCTGTCCTGCTCTCCGGCTCAGCAGCTTCAGTTTCCTCCTGCCTCGTTCCTCTCTCAGTCACTCTCTCGTTCCTCCACCAGCCCAGGAAGAAACTGCTTCAAAGAAGCCAACAGGGTGGCTTTTCCTGTTGGTGCAGCTCCTCTGAAGCGCCCGTTCACCCCCACTCCACTGCCTGCTGTTCAATCCAGTGTCCGTTCTGCCTGCCTGCCTTCATTTCTGGTTGTTTCGGAGCAGCTTCGGCTAAGTAAAAGAGGCAAAGGGCCAACCAGGGGCTCAATTTACTGGTTCTCCAAACTGTTCAGACTCATAACATCCGGTTCTATAGTACCATTCCGAACCGGTAGAAACTCACCCCTGGTATATAAAATCATATATTGCAATGTCCTACCTGTCAATGAATACTTCAGCTTCAACCATAACAATACAAGAGCACTCAATAGATACAAACTCAAAGTTAACCGCACCAAACTTGATTGCAGGAAATATGACTTCAGCAACAGAGTAGTCAATGTCTGGAACACTCTACCTGACTCTGTGGTTTCTTTCCCAAACCCCAAAAACTTTAAACTTAGACTGTCTACTATTGACCTCACCCCTTTCCTAAGAGGTCTGTAGGGGGCATGCATAAGAGCACCAATGTGCCTACTGTCCCTGTCCTATTGTTTCTTTTTATTTTTCTTTATTTTCTTAATTTTATTTGGTTTGTCAATTGCTTACAAGATAACAGATAAGAGGAAAAACATAGTTTTGAATACACGGATATATATAAGAAAAATAAAAGAAACAATAGGACAGGGACAGTAGGCACATTGGTGCACTTATGCACGCCCCCTACAGACCTCTTGATGTGCAGAAATGGATAAGCTAACACTTAAAATCAAAGATAAAGAAGAAATTTAACTAGTTTTTGACATGGGGTTTATGTTATTGATGGCTAGACAAGAAAAACAGAAGTTAGAAAGAAAGGGACATAAAAAGGATAAATGTTAAAATGGAAATTTGTTAAAATGGACAAACAAAATATTATTGTCTCTACAGTTTTAATGTTATTGTGATACTGTATTACTGTGAACACTTGGATTATGAATGCCTAAAATAATTGTACCCAGACAACACACCGTTCAATTGAAACGAAATGTTTATATATTATACGAATAAAATGAATAAAATTTTTTTAAAAAAGGAAAGAAAATAACAAAGAAGACCTGCTCTTAACATCTAGCAGGGTTTAAAGGTGTAGAAGGTGTCAGAGAGAATTAGAGTTAAGTGTCAACAAACCCAGACTGCCACCAAACTGTGTAGCTCTGGGTTACCTTCTCTAGCATTCTCTGGAGACCATATGCCAGAATGGCGGACAGCAGAAATCAATTCCCTGCGTATTGGAGCATCTTCCTCCAGCATCACTTTCTGGATATGTCCTGACAGGAATGATAACAACCATTAGAGAAGAGTGTCTCCAGGGGTGTATCTGCAACATTCCCCAAGAATCCTTTTCTCTGGCTACCCTTCTGTACATGGAGTCCTGGAAGAGGAAAAATTATCACTCACAATAATTATTAAAATCCCAGGCTTTGAGATATCTACTGCTACTTTTACAGTGGCTGCCTTTGATACAACATCAAACTGAAGCAACGTGTAATGGATCTTGCATCAGAAAAATATATAAGCCTCTACTCATGCTGAATGGTTTGCACAAGATTTAGGACACAGGCAGGGGCTGTGATGCTGAATGCACCTTTCCCTCTTTTCCAGATGAAGCTCAATTTGTTTCTGTTTGAAAAAGGAAAGCTCCTGGATATTCCATTTTCTGAGACTGCATTGAAATAATTGAACTCATCTCTGGAAACAGGTGGTTGATTCAGCTCCATGAATTATGGACCGCCTACTTCTGCTTTTGATGCTACTGGTGTCCCAGACAGTCTCTGGGAGGCTTAGAATGAAGTGCCCACTGAATATGGTGCACCTGGATAGAGAAAGACCATGGAGCTACTACAAGCCAGGAGAACATCTCATCGGTGTAGTCACCAGTGCAGTAACACTAAACCAGGAAATGTTGTTTTTCAACCTGCTTCCTTATCATCAGTCTTACTTGTAAGTTATTCAATGCAATGAAATTATATTCCTTCCATCTGCAATTCTAACATTCTCATTCTTTCTCCTTATCCTGCTTACTCCTATATTTCAAGAAGTGATTAATTTTGTTGATTGATCAGATTTCTGTGGGTATCCAGAAAGAAATCTACATTATTTTCCTTTTCACATCCAGTCTAGAATGCATGACTTGAATACTGACTTTTGTTTAAAGTACTGATTGCTGTAGTTAACCTTGACTAACTCATTTCCATATATTTATAATTACTCATTGATATTCAGTTCCTGAACCTTTATAGTAATAGTGAATTGTTTTTAGAACAGCTTTTCTGGATCACTTATGAAATATCTTCTTTCTTTTATGATGGTTGTAGTTTAAAATAGGAATGATTTTGAAGACCGGGTACTGTGCTGATGAAAATTACTGCTGATATAAATAATAGATTATTTGTGATTCTTATCTGCTTCCCATTTTCTCAACATTTACAAATATTAAATTTGATGGGTTAATATCATTTGCCTCTGGTTTTGATCAGTATTGGCTTCATACTCAACAGTCCTATGTTGATAAAGAGGATGAAATTTGGGGAAAGGTATTGCATTACTGCTGTTGATGATGCTTGTATTAACCAAAGCATTTTTTTTTACATTAGTGAAAGTTATACTTCCAAAGGAATAGAACGCTTTATTTTCACCATTCAAGAGATCAACAAGAATATCCAGCTCCTGTGCAATTTCACACTTGGCTACAACATCCATGACAACTATTTGAACACCCTTGGCACTTCAGAAGTCTTGCTGGACATGCTCTCTACTGGAGAAGCCAATGTTCCCAACTACAGCTGTGGAAAGAAGGACAACATTTTGGCTCTTCTTGATGCAGCTGACAGAGAGATTTCCCTCCAGATGTCAACATTAGTAAGCCCCTATAAAGTACCACAGGTTTGTGTGTGTGTTTCTCCTTATAATAAAGTGAGTGGGGTGATAGTGGGTGCATGATAGATCCATCCATATCTTTTGTTTGGAGTTCAAGAGCTGCTTTTCACTATGTCCATTATAGGAACTGGAAACTGGAATACAAATTAGGTTGGAAGCATATACTAAAATAGCCAGAGCCTCTCTTGATAGCATCTCTATTGCTATGGGGGCTTCTCATGCATACTTGTGAAGGTGAGGAGAGGCTCTGTGTCCAATCAAGGGGTCTTCTGTAAAATAAGAGAGTATAGCACTGATGGAAAGCTGACATTTTGTACATGATCTTAAAAACATGATGCTGAACAAATGCCATATTCATGGAAATAATTGTGAAAGGGATGGTTTGCATCCATCAAGGAAGGGACTGAATTACTTGGCATTAAATTTATTTTCTGGTGAAACATTTAAACTAAATAATGGGGACATAGTGTTAATTGATACAGAACACTTTTCTCCCCAGCAATCTAAAAATTATAGAGTAAGCAGTGCTTGTAACATTGATGTTTGTCTGCATAAAAATATAAACTTTGCTGTCAAGAAAAGTCAAACTTTTGATAGTATGTGCTCTAATAAAACAGGTGGTAAGGAAGTAGGGAACTGAGGCACAAAACAGACTAGGTAGAAAGAAAAAGAGAAGTTGCTGGTTACTTTTTACCGTTCTACCATCGAGAGCATTTTGACATACTGTGTAACGGTGTGGTATGCTGGATGCTCTGCAGTGGAAAAGAACATGCTCTGGAGAGTTATAAACACAGCACAAAAATCATCATTTGCTCTCTTTCTTCTCTGGAAGAGATTGCGATGACCAGAGTCCTCTCTAGAGCACCAAAAATCTCCACAGACCGTTCTCATCCTGGACATTCATATTTTGAACTGTTACCACCAGGGAGGCATTATAAGTGTCTTAAAATGAGGAGTAATAGTTTGAGAAACAGTTTCTTTTCCAAGTCAGTAATTGTCTTGAATCAAACAGTGCATTTGTGATTTAGTCCTATTATTATTATTATTATAATTGTTTTAATTTTTAAATTGTAGTGTGATTGTGATGTGGTATTTGGGAGCACTTTGATGGAGTGGCTTTCAAATTTCATTGTATTCGTGGAATGCAATGATAATAAAGGGATAAAGGTAGTCTAAACAAATGATCCATTAAAAGGGACTTAAATGTCTATGCACAACACAGAGAGTATGAGGAATAGGGTGAATTAGAAATTCAAGCAAATGAGGGAAGATACATATTGTTGCCATTAGGGAAACTTGGTGGGATGAAACCCACAAATGCAATACACAGTTAAAGGGATTTAAATTATTTAAAAGAAACAAACCACATAAACGAGTAGGCAGAGTTGTAATATATATGAGAAATAAATACATATTTACAGAAATAGAGCACAACAATTATAAAACTGTCTTGAATGCACTTAGGTCCATATAAGGGGGGGAGATGGCACAGTGGCACTGTGAGGATGGCACACTGTAATCAAACAGATAAAATAGTTGAACTTTTTGCTAGTCAGTTAACTAAGTATATAGTAAGTCCTTTAAAAATGTAATGGGAGACTTTAACTATCCTGACATCAATCAGGAGACAAACTCTGCACCAAGTGGAAGATCTAACAGGTTCCTGACAAACCAATCAGACAGCTTTGACTCTCAAAAAGTAGAAAGGGGAATTAGGGGATCAGCCATACTGCACTCAATTCTCTCTGTCAGAGATGAAATGATAGAAAGGTGTTCAAACAACAGGAACCTGGGAGCGATGGGGAGAATGAGGATGCAATATTGGAATCCAACATTATGCAAGCACAGGCAATAGAACAAGTCAAACTAGAGGCTTGGAGTTTAAGAGAGCTAATTTCAAAAAATTTAGAGAGATCTTGGGTAGGATTCCATGAATGAAAACCCTCAAGGGGACAAACACCAAAGCAGCTTGGCAAGTTTTGAAAAGTGAGCTTATAAAAGCTTAGTCTAGCAATAGCAATGAAGAAGAAAAATAACAGCTCTCAAAAGGAAACCAGCATGGTTGCATTAAAAAAAACTCTGATAAATTGAAAGACAAAAAGGACAGTATAAAAAATGGAAAGAGGAGCACATACCTAAGGCAGAATATCAGCAAATAGCCCGAGAATGCAAAGAAGTGAGGAAAGGCTCAAAATAAACTAAGGTTTGTAACAAAACTCAAAAATAATAACAACAACCAAAAGCTTATTTCAACATATAAAAACAATTAAAAAGTCAAGGAAACGATTGGTCCATTAATGGAAGAAAGTGGCAAGATGTTGTCAAGCAATAGGGAGAATGCAGGACTGCTTAATTTATTTTTTGCACAAAAGGAAAAGAAAAGTCCAACCTATCAAAAATGCCACTGGAAAAAGCTCAATAGTAATAACTGTGAGAGGAATCTTGGCATCCTGGATGGAAACTGATAAAGGAAAGGAGCAACCTAGCATTAAAGGGAAATTTCCTGACAGAACAATTAATCATTGGAACAACTTGCCTCCAGAAGTTGTAAATACTCAAACACTGGAAGTTTTTAAGAAGAGATTGGATAACCATTTGTCTGAAGTGGTGTAGGGTTTCCTGCCTGAGTGATCTGGGAGTGGGACTAGAAACCTCCAAGGTCCCTTCCAACTCTGTTAATCTGTTAATTCCAATCTTATCTGCTGTTGATAAAACACATTTGTTTTACAGCCTCATAGTGATCACTATCATTAATTAATCACTTTATTTAAAAAAACTACAAGCATATTAGCCAAAATGTCAACTATTTTTACCCTTTGTATTTAGAATCAAATTCATCTTAAAAGCTTGATGAACAATAGTCCACAGATACAATTTTCTACAAAATGAATTTTTCAAAAAAACAACAAAACCCACATGTTGTGAGTCGCACTATTGGCAGGTTGATTTACCCGTATCTATAAATAATATCTTTTATATTCAGTTGGGTAGAAGATGACAATAATATTTTCTAAATATAAAAAAACTGTATAAAATACCCAATCAATTATTGACCCATTGCTCAAATAGATATTGTGTCTAAAATAAATGCTAAGTTCCTATTGAGGAGAGTTGATAGTTGCTCAGTCAACAAATAACAAATAATTGCTTGCTGAAGGCTTTATTTATTCATGGATTTATTAAAGTTGTTTGCCACCTGTCTCACTGCAAAGTGCCTCTGCACTTTGATAAAACTACACTCAGCATGTAGTTCACAATGGAACTACAGCTATATGGAGGAAAGAATGCAAATGTTCTTCAACATCTTCAGAAATGATCTAGAAGAGAGGAAAGGAGGGAAAACCCATCAAATTTGCAGATGACACCAAGCTGGGGGAAATTGCTAACACTTTGAAAGTTGGACTCAAGATTCAGAAGGATCTTGACAGACTCAAGCACTGGGCCCTATCCAATAAAATGCAATTTAGTGGTGTGAAAAGCAAGGTCCTATTCCTAGACAAAAAAATATTAAATGCACAGTTATAGAATTGTTGATACCTGGCTGAGCAGTTGCAATGGTGAGAGAAATCTAAGTGTCCCAATGGACCATGACAATGGGTCTAAGTCTACATGGAGAGAAGTAAGCAGTGGGGTGCCACAAGATTCTGTCTTAGGGCAAGTACTCTTCAATATCTTCATTAATGACTTAGATGAAGGAATAGAAGGGGAACTTACCAAATCTATTGGACCGGACGGAATATGTGCCTACTTCTTAAAAAAGCTATCCACTGCCATAGCCGAATCTCTAAGCATAATCTTTGAAAAATCTTTCAGGACCAGCTCCTTTTATTTTATTTATTTTTCTTATATGTATCCATGTATTCATAACTATGTTTTTACTATACCTATTATTTTGTAAGCAATTGATATAAATAAGTAAATAAATAAATAAAAATTGCAGATGATACTAAGCTGGCAGGAATAGCTAACACCCAAGAAGATAGGCTCAAGATCCAGATGGATCATGACAGACTAGAACACTGGGTCATATCTAACAAAGTGAAATTCAACGTAGAGAAAAGTAAGGCAAGAAAACCAAAAGTACATCTATAGACTGGGTGAAACCAGGCTTAATAGCAGTAACTGTGAGAGGGATCTTGGAGTCTTAGTGGACAACCAGCTAAATATGAGGCAGCAGTGGGCAGCAGCAGCCAAAAAAAGCAATCCTAAGTTGCACTAACAGAGGGATACAATCAAGATCAAGTGTGGTATTAATACCCCTCCATAAAACTTAGTAAGGCCACAGCTAGAGTACTGCATCCAGTTTTGTTCACCACATTATAGAAAAGATGTTGAGACTCTAGAAAAAGTGCAGAGAAGAGCAACCAGGAGACTCCAGGGGACTGGAGACTAAAACATGAAGAACGGTTACAGGAACTGTGCTTGGCTAGTCTAGTGAAGAGAAGGACCAGGGGAGACATAATAGCAATGTTCCAATATTTGAGGGGCTGCCATAGGGAGGAAGGGGTCAAGTTATCTTCTCAAGCACCTGAAGGCCAGACAAGGAATAATGCATGGAAACTGAACAAGGAGAGATTTAATGTGGAAATAAGGAGAAACTTTCTGACAGTGAGAACAATCAACCAATGGAACAGCTTTGCCCTCGGAAGTTGTGGGAGTGCCATCACTTGAGACTTTCAAGAAGAGATTGAATTCCCATCTGTCATAAATGATGTAACGTCTCCTGCTTGGGCATGGGGTTGGACTAGATGACCTACAAGGTCCCTTCCAACTCTGATTATCTGTTATCTGACTTAAATATGAGGCACCAGTATGTTGCAGCTGCCAAAAAAGCCAATGTAGACCTAGGCTGCATTAATAGATGGATGGGATCAAATTAATAAAGGAGAATATTTGTAGCTCGGTGCTGAAGTGATGGTTTCTTGTAGCTTTTGAGCATGGTTATTTTCTTGCAGACATTTCATTATCCAAACTAGGCAAGATCATCAGTGCTGGTAAGGAATGTGAGGTATGCTCTCAAGTTTATCTTCTAATGATTTGCTCTATAAGCACTGGTATGAATGGTCTTGGAAAGTTTTTTGTTGGGCTGTTAGTTTGTTTGGCAGTTCCTTGATTAGGGTATTGTTTACTTCTTGATTATTGGTCTGATGTTAATCAACATCAATTAACCAACATCATGTTAATCAATATCAATTAACATCATTAATTATTGGTGCATGAAATGAAAGCTATGGAAACTACAGACTCCCCAAATTGTGTCTGTTAGAACAGACAAAATTTCAACTAAAGACCTCTTAGCTTGTATAACTGACAAATTATATGAGAAACTATGGTCTCTCTGTCTCTTGTACAACTGGAGAAGAAAGTAAAAAGTTAGCTGCACAAAGAATTTGAAATATTGAAGCAGAGAACAATGTAGCTATTGTGGAGCGGCGGAGGAACGAGGCTGAACCAGAGTGAACGTTAAAGGCTTTATTCCAAGAATAAAGGGTTGCCGCGTCTGCCTTCTAACTTGGCAGGTTAGCTGGCGGCAATGGGGCTGACACTGCTTGACAGCCGCCTTTTATAGCCGGCTGTCAAACGGTGTCAGCCAATGGGAGCGGCTGGTGCTCCCGTTCAAACAGCGGACCTGGTTGTGGACTCCAACCAGTCCCAAAGACATAACAGTAGCAATCTTCCAAAATTAAATATAATATGGCCCTTTATTGGAATATACTTCAGTTAACATCATGCACATGTGAGTGTGCATTAAATTGTAAGGGTGATTGAGAAATATGATTTGCATTTTTATTTTTTGTCAGGTCCTAGATATTTCTACAGGAATGCTGGCATATTGGTGGGAGGAAGGGGGGCGGAATGGAGTGATCAGTATACGAAGGTTCTGTTTCTGTTTCCTGCATTATTGTGCTAATCTGTATATGATATTTCTATTTTCCTGCAATGATGTAATGTGGGAGCGGTTTGGTTAGCATTGCTTTCAATAACTGGTTTTAAGTGAGAAGATTTAATTCTTGCCTAGATCTCTTCTTATCACATGCCTTTCAATAAAAGCTCCTTTTGGAACAACTGCAGTTTCTAGAGTCCTGCTTTCTTGGGAACATTGGACAGGCAAGATCTTACATTTTTATTTCTTTTAGGTAATTTGTTTCTCATTTTCCATTTTTATACACAGTCTTCTTAATATTCTTTATTTAATATTATAAACAATTACCAATCAACAAACTATTCTAAGATGTTTATCAAAAGAAAAAGTTGGATTTATTAAAAACTCATATTTTGGAGTTGTCTTCTTCATTGCTTTTCCAGATCAGTCATAGAGTTGTTTCAAAGACTCTGAGCGATAAAAGTAAATTCCCTTTTTTCCACCGGATGCTCCTCAAAGAAGGGTTTCAGTATTCAGCAATTGTCCGAGTGCTCCTGCATTTCAGGTGGACCTTGATTGGTCTCCTTGCTCCAGACACAGAGGAGGGAGAGAATTTCCTCAGGACTTTTCCTCCTTTGCTTATCTGGAATGGAATTTGTGTCGTTATATCACAACAATTCTCAATGACTGCACATCGAGTACCCTTCATGGATTCCAGCTTTTCTCAGTGGAAGCAAGTCAATGTCTTTGTTCACTTCACAGAACACATTATTCTTTCAAGCACATTTCATATTTTTCATTTAACAATTGACATTTTGTCAGGACCCATTAGAGAGAAAATCTGGATCACCACA